GACCAAATTGCCCATGGGCTTTCAATGCAAGAAACTGTCCACCTTAGTCATATGCTATACATTATGAGAACAGGAATTACAAGGCAGATGTCCTTAAGCATTTACATGAAATTCAAGAGTAAAACAATAATTAAGCACCAAAATTAGTGACAGAGGAGATACAAATAAAATCACATAAGTTCGAACAGGATTTTTTGAAAGGATTGCTCTATGTTGAGGATACCTATGACTGAGTTCAGTAAACATACTGAGCACTTGTGTGAAGCACTGTTCAAGGTACATGGGATACAATAATGAAAAGATAGATGTGTTTTAGAGATAACTCCCTAATTTTAACTTTTATACCTCAATAACCTCAGTTGGGAAAGTAGAAGAAAAATAAGAAATTAAGACTATGAGAATGTATAGAAAAATTGATTATCATGGAGGCCAAGAAAGAAGTATTTTTCATGGAATAGGATGGGCGATGAATACTATCAAATAGTTCTTACTACAGCTTTTTGCCTTCTAACATACATATCATAAATAATATCTATTGTTATAGAGACACCAAGGAAGAAGAAGAGAAGTAATAAAAGGTCTTAGCTTATTTAGGGTCATAGCATTACCTATGATGGGAGATTTTATTTTTAAGACTTATTTATTTACTTAGAGAGACAGAGAGAGAGGTAGGTGGGGGAGGGGCAGAGGGAGAGGGAGGGAGAGAATCTCAAACAGACTCCCCCTGAGTGTAGAGCCTGACACAGGAATTGATCTCATGACCCTGAGATCATTTGAGCCGAAATCAAGAGTCAGATGCTTAACCGACTGAGCCACCCAGGCACCCCTATGATGGGAGATTTTTTAATAAAGGTTTTACATCTTCTAATCATATGTATGTTATAGAGGTTACTGGTAATCCTGAGAGATGAATTTTCTAAATAGTAATTTACAATATTTAAGGGTTAATATTTCTCTAAAGTATACATAACTCTTTTGAGTTGTAGTATTCAGAAATATATTTCAAGTATTTAATGAAATTGCCTTAATTATGTCATGTTTCTATGACAATGCTACTAACCAATGCCACTAACACCACTTTTCTCATTGTTTTTCTTATGAAGTCAGACAATGTCCACCTTCTTTCACTGTGTAGTAGTGAAATGTTTTTTATCTTCTCTGGTATAGCATTTTTTCTTCTCTTCAAAATAATGCTTGTCTTTTTTTTTAAGGTGGAGTGATAATATTACCAGCATCAGAATTGTTATTATTGTACATTTTGCAACTACTTTTTTGTAGGTCTCAAGATACTTTTTTACTCTTCTAATAGTTATTTAATTTTAACTGTTGTGTTCCATACATTGATGTGTGTCCAATAGATCAGAATCAAAATCTGGCCCAAATTTAGACTGATTTCTCCATCATTAATTTTTGTTTTATAAGGAAACTAAAAAGTGGTTTTCCTTAACCAATTCATTCATTTTATGTCTAGAAATAACTACATATAAGAATATGTTTGCTTTCAATGACATATCAGATAAAGGGCTAGTATCCAAAATCTATAAAGAACTTATCAAACTCCACCCAAAGAACAAATAATCCAATCAAGAAATGGGCAGAAGACATGAACAGACATTTCTCCAAAGAAGACATCCAAATGGCCAACAGACACATGAAAAAGTGCTCAACATCACTTGTCATCATGGAAATACAAATCAAAACCTCAATGAGATAACACCTTACACCAGTCAGAATGGCTAAAATTAACAAGTCGGGAAACGACAAATGTTGGCAAGGATGCGGAGAAAGGGGAACCTTCCTACACTGTTGGTGGGAATGCAAGTTGGTGCAGTCACTCTTGAAAACAGTATGGAGGTTCCTCAAAAAGTTGAAAATAGAGCTACCCTACGACCCAGCAATTGCACTACTGGGTATTCACCCCAAAGATTCAAATGTAGTGATCCAAAGGGGCACGTGCACCCCGATGTTTACAGCAGCAATGTCCACAATAGCCAAACTATGGAAAGGGCCTAGATGATCATCAACAGATGAATGGATAAAGAAGATGTGGTATATATATACAATGGAATATTATGCAGCCATCAAAAAATGAAATCTTGCCATTTGCAATGACATGGATGGAACTAGAGGAATGGAGCAAAATTAAGTCAGTCAGAGAAAGAAAATTAACATATGATCTCACTGATATGTGGAATTTGAGATCTCAGGAAACAAACTGAGAGCTGCTGGAGTGGAGGGGGGGTGGGAGGGATGGGGTGACTGGGTGATGGACATTGGGGATGGTATGTGCTATGGTGAGCGCTGTGAATTGTGTAAGACTGATGAATCACAGACCTGTACCCTTGAAACAAATAATAATACATTATATGTTAATAAAAACAAAACGAAACAAAACAAAAAGAATGTATTTGCTTTCTACATAAAACATCCTTTTGGGGTTTCTATGTTTAGGTTTTCATATACTATACAGACTTATATATGTGTGTATAGAGAATAGCTTATACACTTGAATAGCTTTAAACTCTAAAACTGACCTACAACAAACAAATAATCAACAAATAGAAGAGCATTGAATAAGCACACAGGTTTAACATGCTCATAAATGTACTCCAATGGTTTACATTATTAGAATCATCCTTTCATTGCCAGGTTTGTCCTCTTCACAGTTCAATTTTCTCATCATTTTGCAGAATTACAGGAATACACAGCCTAAGGCAATGGTTTCAACCATGGGTATATGTGTGTGAGGTACGTCCTACATACTATAGGGTAAGTCAGGGAGGATATCATTCTATCACCTCCAGTATTTTACATTCCAGGAAAAAAGGACCTAAGCATATGAATTTATGAGAAACTATTACTGTGATTCTAATAGGCATATAGTACCAATTCTGCCATGCCCCAAACATTTTAAACACACACACACACACACACAAACTCCTCTTTCCTATCATTTGAGAACCACTGCCCTAAAGCATATGCAGTTATGGATAAATGAGCCTGTGGAAAGAAAATTTCTATGATATATGTAATGTCTTAATTAAAGAGCAGACATAATGATATAAGACTTGGAAGATATAAATATTCACATTCTTATGTAAAGAATCTATACAAAACAGTATTATTGATCCAAGTATATTGTTGCTTACATATCACCACTCCTTTATGAAAACCTAGGTGACCTAGATCAACTTTATAATTTTCCATTTGGCTCTGATTATTTTATAGACTCTAGCAGCCATTCAATAAGGGGCTGTGACTAAAGGCTTAATTTACTTCCTATGGCAGTGCAAAGTGAAAGAATGATCTCCATGCAGTTTAAGATGTTAAATGGACAAAAAGCCATGACTATGTAGTTAAATTAAATCAAACAGATTGGATGTGTTTAAACAGCTTCTTGCTAATAAGTATGCCATTGAGATTCTTATTAAGTTAGAGTAAATAAATAATGCAAGTAAGAAATGTTTTCCTGGGGATGGAAATGCATAAGATAAGAATCAGAGCCAGAAAATATTTTAAAAGAATTGTAAAATAAGGTAAGAAAAAGATCCAAGAGTAAAATTTCTGTAAGAAAGTGAAAGAAAATGACAGATGAGCCCAGACTTAAGGTGTGTGTGTGTGTGTGTGTGTGTGTGTGTATAAATTAGAGTGCATTTGAGGTTAGTGAATATATCTATGTTTGACTAATATTACAAGGTATTTACTTATCCAATTACAAGAATACTTACTATTATATTATTTATAAATGTAAGTGTATTGAAACAAATGTTTTCTAAGGGAATGCCATCCACTCAAAGTGATGTAGCAGAGAAAATTGATGAAATAAGATCTATGTTACTCTATGTACTTACCCCAGAATTGTTTGCGATTAGCTATGAACAATTAACACATATCTGCCCCTTTTTATAATTTGTGAAGTGATAATCATATGCTCCCTATTTAGTCTTCACTTTGCTATGTGTTGAGAATGGACCATTTCACGCACAGCTAGTAAAAGGAAGAGCCAACATTTAAACCCAGATCATCTGGTACCAAGTCCATTGCTATTTGGTCAGAAAGAATAATTGAATAAATTATTTGTATGGAGAACAGGAACAGAAGGAGTATCAAAAAAAGAATGGCCAGAATATAGAGCAGTTTAAAATCCAGCAACAAGAAATTTGACTTGATAAAGTAGGCATCAAACATCCACTATATGCATCATGTATCATGTGAGTAAAGTAAGGAATATGGTCATTAATCTGTCTGTTCTATGTAAGATTTTGAAGGGAAGAGAATTTAGATATAGTAAATCCATCAAGAAGTAATTAAAGAATAGGCATGAAATTTTCATGTTAGCTTTCTGAGAAATCTTTCTTGTATGTTTACTGATGCATTCCAAGCATCTAGGTGGGTGCATCTGGTGCCTAGCGGTGCTCAATAAATATTTGTAGTTCTGGTAGATAGTAAAGTGAAGAGAATCTGGTAGAAAATGAGCTTGTTCTTCATTTTTAGAAATTAGAAGGACAGAAAACACAAACTTGCTATCGATTAACATAGAAGTAATAATTGAAACCACAAGACATAACAAGTGTTCTGAGATCAAGTGTAGAAAAAGACCAAAAGACTATAAAACATAACTTTAGTAAATGCCTGGTTACTGTTCAAGTGTCATTTCCCATGTTGATTCTCAACCAAAGCATTAGAGGACCTCAAAATAGATGGTGAAAGAGAGATGTAGTTCAGAAATCAGTAGAGGCTGCTACAGTGAGACCCAGTGATTAAAAGAAGTTCTGGTGTCAGATAGTGATAAATTCTAAAAACCAGGTTGGCTGCCTCCAAAGTTTTTGACATTGGTCAAGTTAACTTATCTACATCTCTGCTTATTTAAAAATAAGAATAATATTGTATGCCATATTGGCTTCTGGTGAGGATTAAATAAAATAATAAAGTGCTTAGCATTGTGCAGGGATCAAGATTAAGGCTCTGGGTGAGACTAACGGCAGTGAAGCTTAGCCTACCTTCAGGTGGTTAACGGAGTATTTTCTGGAAACTAAAGATGAAGTCCAGTCCTAGAAGGGAGACAAAGGCAGATTGCTGCAGCTACTTGGAGTCTTGAGCTCCAGAGCCAATCCCAGGGACAATGGGTTAGGGAGAAGCCTTCAGATGAAGATCACATTGGCAGCATCTGAAATGAACTGTTATAGGCAGAAACTGAACAGTAGAAAGAAGGGGAACGGTTTAAGAAATAAACCAATAAAAACAGGTAAAACAGGTAAAGAAAGTAATTCATAATATGAAAACTGAGGATAAAAGAATTTTAAGATGTAGGAGGTAATGACCCCTGCTAAAGATTATATGATGTTTAAACAAATAAAAACTAATATAAAATGCCAAGGATTTTGGCTTAAAGATTTCTACTGATTCAAGAACAGGATAAATAGAGTAGTGGGGAAAAAACTGTGGAAGACACCGATAAGGAACAGAATAGATAGCATATACGAACTTTTCTCAGAGCTTAACAAGAATAAGATAAGTAAAAATTGAATGACGGGGAGCCTGGCTGGCTTAGTCAGTAGAGCATGCCACTCTTGATCTTGGGGTTGTGAGTTCAAGCTCCACAGTGGGCATAGCAATTTCTTAAAAATAAAAAATCTTTAAAAAAGAGGATAAAAGGGAAAATTTTTCTAGAGAACTGGGGAAACTTGGGTATATATGAAGGTAAAGGGAGAGAGTTGATGGAGAGGAAAAAAAAAACGCTAAAAACAAAAACTAGAGCTGGAAAGAATGGGAATTGTTGTAGAAACAAATGGAATTACAAAGATAAATGTCTTCATATCCAAAGTACAATTAGAGTTTCTTTTTTCCTTCATAAAAAGGATTGTAAGAAAAATACTTATATTGGAAAACTCAAATTTTCCAGTAGAGGGAAGGCACTTTGCTTACATAGGGAACTGATTGAAGGATGTCAAGACCCTAGAATAATAGCTATAAGAAAGAAAGCAATTAGTGGGAAAAAGTTCCAAAAGTCAACTTGCAATTGGCTGCCATGATTCAGAAATGAGCCAAACCTTTGCCTTCCTGCATCTGAAATGGTAAGTTAGAGAAAAGAGGTGATAGAGATGTGTAATATCTGAATAAAAAGTGCAGAACATTTCAATCAATATATAGAACTGCAACATAGCCAAAACCTACACCTAAAAGTTTCACTCCACTTCCAAACATAAAGCTATAAAGTTTTTAACCAAATGAAAATTCTGATCTTTCTGGGACATAGAGTGAACCCCAGCAAGTGTTTCTACCATTGAGGACCAGGTCTGGACTTATACCTGAGAATCCCTTTAGGAAAGACAAGGTGAAACAACTCTGCTGTTGACATGTTACTAAAATATTTTATGAATTAATGCATGCCAATTCAATACCCTTGAGATTTTATTTGTACAGCTGGTCAGGTCAAATATTGGTATAAATTAAAAATTTAGAAATATATGTTGATCTCATTATAAAACATTTTCTAAAAAAGCAACAATAAAACTATAAAATGAGTTCCCCAAACCCAGTATGTGCCAGGAATATGTTCTGTTTTGATCTAAAATTTTAATTTGCTCAACCTGCAGGTAGCCATGGTAGCTGAAACCCCTAAGCAGCTTCATGCCAAACAAACATTACATTTTCAATCTGGACCATGATGGGAGGAAAGCACTCCTCTAAAATGTTATTCATTCAGGCCCAAGGGAAGCTTCCTTGGTAATATTTAGTAAATTCTGAAGGATTCAATATATAATAAAACAAAATAAGAATATTGAAAAATATAATAGAGGTATAGCTCATAAAATCATAAATAAATAATTTAAGATGTTTAAAAGAATTTAATGAACAAAATTTGCATTTATTATATGGATTCAAATCTATGATGTAGTTAACAGTCATTACATCAAAAATGTGGATATTATGAATATAGAACTTTTCTCTAAATTCCAACAAGTTCAAAAACAGACTTGCAGCTTTATTTTTCTTTTTCTTTTTTTTTAATTTTATTTTTCTTAAATCAACGTGTACTTTTAGATGGTAACTTTGGCACACAAGCTTTATACTTAATGTGCTAAATTCTACCATTGTTTTGACATTCAAAATGCAATTTTTAAAGTGGAAAATATTTATATTTGTAATGGTTTCATTAATTATATTTATGCTTGGGAGTCTGCATTAAGTGCTAAGAACATAATGACAATTATTTATCATAGTTTATATGAAGAAAATGGAAAATAAAATTAAAAATACAAATCCCATGAAGATAATATCATGGTTTTAGGAATATAAGTGCATGCATATGCATATGTATGCATAATATATGCATACATTTTAGGCTTTAGGTTTTAGGAATATAAGTGCATGCATATGCATATGTATGCATAATATATATTATTAAGAATTTTATTTTTATTGTAACAAATCAATTATTAGCCCAGGTCAGTGTTATCAAACACTAAACTTATGGCTTCTTAATGACAATAAATTAAAATTATTAAAGAATAAATTCAACGTTAAAAAGTGTACTAGAGAGGGGCGCCTGGGTGGCTCAGTTGGTTAAGCGACTGCCTTCGGCTCAGGTCATGATCCTGGAGTCCCGGGATCGAGTCCCGCATCGGGCTCCCTGCTCAGCAGGGGGTCTGCTTCTCCCTCTGCCCTCTTCCCTCTCGTGCTCTCTGTCTCTCATTCTCTCTCTCTCAAATAAATAAGTAAAATCTTTAAAAAAAAAAAAAAGTGTACTAGAGAAAGCCATCCCAGGTCCTACTGTTCCTATACCCCTTTCTAGGAGGACCAGCCTACATAGGTAGCATGGGGAAAGATAAGTTTCACATCCCATGACTGCCAACCCTTCTTTAGTCTCAGTTGATTGCACTAAAGGTGGGTACCTCATTCAAGGACAGACAGACAATGCACAGCCAGTAAGCGACGAGCAGATAATGACACCACACAGTAAAATATATGATTGGATTAATATACAAACATAATTTCAAGACAAACAGGTAAAATGAACTTGCAATATTATTAGGGAAATATAGACATGCTAACTTGAAAATAGAACATTTATAACACTTCAGCTTAATTAATTTATTTTAACATCTGAAATACTGAATTCAATTCTCTTTCCCTTTAACAGCTCTGAATTCACATATTAAACTATTTGAGGAAAGGGAGACAAAAATACTTACTTGTGATGCTGTTTCTCGAGACTGACACAAAGGGAGGGAAAAAAAGAAACACACAAAATACAGTTTAAACAATGACTAAATAATACATACACGAAACAGTCAGCAACAAGGACAAAATCTGACAAGTCCCCACTTAACACTTACAATACAATTATGTGTTTCATTATTTATTACAGGGCTTCTGAATAAAATTAGATAAGGAATAAAAGTGTAGCAGAAAGTTCCTGTTAGATTATTTTTTGTCTGTTTGTTTAGTAAAATTATCTCTCTAAGGTTTTGATAGAAAAAAGTGGTACTGGGCGCCTGGGTGGCTCAGTTGGTTAAGCGACTGCCTTCGGCTCAGGTCATGATCCTGGAGTCCCGGGATCGAGTCCCGCATCGGGCT